GACCATCTCTGTACTGTGCGGGTGGCTGGTGGCTCCCTGCGCACTAAGGGCTCATACACAGGGACAAGGTGCACCAGGTTGTGATCAGATCTGCCCAGATCTGTGACTGCATCATTAATTCCCCCCTCCCAACCAGCTGAAGTCATCCACTGCAAAGTCTTTTAAATGTCTGTGTGCACACCAAAGAGCACGTTACATGAACCAGCTGTGACTGTTATGTGTCTGTGTGAGTTATCGCAGATCGTCCCGTGCGTGGGGCTGGACGGCGCTGTCGCGTTAACGAGCTAAAGCATTGATGCCGGCCAGCCCCACGCACGGGACGATCTGCGATAACTCGCTAATGGAGATTTGCCGCATTAATGCAGTTACGGCGCTAACGTCATTTTAACGAGATCAGCGCTGACAGCACTCATTTTTATATGTTCACAAAAGAGCACCTTTTAAATTTCAATGGTTTTATTTTGTGTCATGAATTCTTGCTGGATGTCCTTTTTGATCCTTTGTTAAAGGTGTTGACCGCAGACGTTCTGTGGCAGAATCCTCTGTGCGCACCTGATGGTTAAAGAACAGTTAAAATAAAAATAATATAATAAATAAAATAAAAGAACAGTTAAAATAAAACATCAGATATTTTGGATTCAAAGCAGAAAAAAACATTAAATGGTCGATTTGAATGAGTTAAGCAGTGAAATTTTAGACACTATATGATTGAAAATAACATTTGTCTTTGGAGGTTATTTAAACATATCGTGATGTAGCCAAAAAATATTGTGATATTAGATATCCCCTCATATCGCCCAGCCCTACCTCGAAGTCTGGGCGCCTCCTGGCTGAGGTGTTTTGCACGTCCTACCGGGGGAGGCCCCGGGGCAGACCCAGGACACCCTGGAGAGATTAAATCTCTCGGCTGGCCTTGGCGTTCCCCTGGACGAGCTGGGGGTCTGGGCTTCTCTGAGCGTCTGTGCTTAGGCTGCTGCAGAGGAAGGAAGGAAGGAAATCCTCCACCTTTTCAATGGATTCTTTTTCTCTTCTTTTTCTCCTCTGCCTTCATTTAGCTTTCTACTGATTGTAGTTTTACCCAAAAATGTAGAAGCATATGGAGATGGGTGTATGTGTGAATAAAGTTTTTTCCTCCTCACGTTCTTCACGTTTTCTTTTTCTGCTCCAGGTGGTGGATGTTGCTCTTCCTACGTCTTCGCAGGAAGTTCCTCAGAGGAAACCAGTGGAAACGCTGGGATCGCTGCTGCTCAGCCTGAACCCGGACAGGTATCAGAGCTGGGGTTCCCCGGGTCATTGGAAAGTCTCAAGAAAATAATAAACAGGGAAAAATAGTCTCAAAGCCCCCGGTACCGGGTTCAAAGGGGGTCTTTTATGTAAATATGTGTGGCATCCACAGAAACCTCAGAATCTCAGCTAAATGCGCATATAAATAATTTCTATGACCCCCAAACAGCGAAAACAAGCCATGATTTTCAGAGCAGTTGCGTAATTGCGTCCACTAAACGCATACAACGGAGCTATGAACTCTCCCGACTTTGTAACAGGTTACCAAGTCACGCTCTCACGGACTCAAAGCCTTCAAAGTTTCACCACGCTCCGACCAAAATTCCCTGAACCATCCGCAAAAGAAAACCACAAATACACGTAGCGTGCCAAGTGTGCTAAAGTGGTAGCTGAAAGCTGCTGTAGCTACTGATAATGGCGCCCACGCATCAGAGCCAGTTCCATCAACAATCGCCATTTTCAGCCCAGTTACAGACGCATGGCTGGATACGTTTAGGGCCACGTGGGGTATTCGCCTTACAACTTCTGATTGGAGGAACTGACATGAACACTGCCTCATTACTGTGATTTTTATTGGCTCAAACGATCAACCAATGGAAGCTGAACGTACAGCCCCTCAGAGTTTAAAGCGCCAGAGTCCATTTAAACTCTCCAAAAGTTGATTCTGTTCATCTGTACGTTGCGTTTTCAGTGGGAGAAACATTTCGTCACCCATCCAATGACTTCTTCTTCCATTTAAAGTGTTTAGCGCACGGGAGAATGGGCCTGTGGGATGTGTGGGGAAACTTCAAAAAACAAGCATTTCTGCTGTTTAATACCTAAAATATTCTACTCGCATATGAGTTGTAAGAAGCACTTGTTTAGATAAAGATGTTGCAGAAACCCCAACAGAATTGTAGAAGAAAACTTTTTCATTAGCCACAAGTACCTGCTCGGGTCAGCTTGACTCTGTTTAAGGGTTTTCATTAGAGAGTCGCACCTTGTACCAGGTACTGCTCAGCTGAAGGTCCAAGCAATCTAAGGCAAGCCAAAATGTGACATCAAGAGACTGTGTGTCACCGATTGGCTGGTCAGTGGCGTCACTCGTTGAGTCACGAGAGCGTATCTTTCACGTGGCAGTCGAGGAAATGGTTGGATAAAAAAACACTGTGGTCCACTCAGACTGACAGAAAGCCGTACACGAATCACCGGATTTACGTGGAAGTGCTCCACTGTTGTGACGTTAAAGTCACATACCAATGACGTCACAGGACTCCCGGCTGCAGTGCTCTAACAACCCCCCATGCACAGTATGTGGGTGTCAACTGTAGTGAAAACGTACCAACACCCAGTCGAGCAGAGTAGATTCTACATGTTATATCTCTGTGGCTCAGACTGTGCTGACAGCTTCGCCCAGCAGGGCGGCGCCACTGCACAAAACCTTTGTTGTTCAGCCTCTCTCTCTCCCTCACTTCCTCTCAGGCTGTCTCGGCCGCTTCAGCGCTGCCTCGAGTGTCTGAACTCAGTTCCTGACCTCAGGACGCACTACCCTTCTCTGGTCCATTGCTCGCTCTGCAGGTTCATCACCTGCTGCTCCACCTCCTACGCCAACCACATGATCAAGTATGTGCCTCTGATTGGTCATCTCACAGTCTCTTTTGTTTGTTTGTTTTCCTGAACTGTGCGACTGTTTTTGTTTTTAGTAACCATGCGACCTGCAAGAAGGTGCCGCCGTACCAAACCATCTTCCAGTCTGACCCCAAGTAACCAGACCAGCAGAATCAGATCAGTGTGATCAATTATCTACAGGTGAACAGGAATACCTGAATACCTGACCTGCTCTCGTGTGTGTTTATAGGCTGCCAGACATGTTGATGTGTGTGACATGCAAACTCTTAACCTGCAGAGGAGACCTGATGGCCAATCATCTGACAGAGAAGCCAAAGCACACCTGTATCATGTTAGCGCACACAGGTAACGTGCACAGGTGAAGCGCACATTCTCAAGGTATATAGTGCATGAAAAGGAAAAGGTTTTCATGTTGTGGGAGGTAAATGCATGGGTCAAAAAAACGCTGCTGCCTGATTCAGATGATTATTTTGAAATGATTTAAAGTATTCTGTCAGGAACTGGTTCCATGTCCTGCACAGCTGTTCGTGATGTGACCACAAGGGGGCACCACAGCAAAATAACTCACCCTGATTGTGAGAGGGTCAGAGTGAATCAGCTCTATCAGGAATGGAGCTAAATAAAGGGCAGAACTCCATTTGAATTCAGTGGACTACGTTAATGTGAACCTGGAGTTTTAATCACGATTATCCACTCACACATCCGTCCATTTACTTTCTTCCACTTACTCCACTCAGGGTTGTGTCTGGAGCCTATCACAGCTGTCACATGCCTGGAAACCTCCCCAGTCTGTTACACACCTCATGAAGCTAACTTAAGTTTTCCCTGATAGATGATAAAGATGCAATCTTCCAGATTTGACACTCTTTTCCTCTTTCAGAGAGTGGGATGACTTATGAGAATGAAACTGTATCAGAGCCGAGAGAGAGTGGAGCCGACACACAATCACAGTCTGACAGGTAGCATGTGTGCGTGTATATATGAAAACATGTTGCTACAAAAGATGTTTACATTAAAATATGGCAAATTAACATCAGAAAAACCAACCACACACACTCTTTATCAAATGAATAAATTCCCCCCTCGCCCCTGTGGGCGGTCCATCCTTCAAGCTCGGGTCCTCTACCAGAGGCCTGGGAGCTTGAGGGTCCTGCGCAGTATCTTAGCTGTTCCC